CCAGCAGAATCCCAGCCCCCCAGGGTCTGGAGCTCCAGCAGCACAAACACTAGAGGCTGGTGATCCCCTTCTCTTGATGGGAGGTAGAAGGCAAAGTTTGCTGAGCCATGTTGTGGAGCTGACAAAGCAAAGCAACTGGTGGTAGAGCAAAATGCTGACATGGCTGGGGACAGTTTTAGTTGGTCTAATAAAATTACCACATCTAGCCAAAGAACCTTGTCTGGGAATGGTTAGAAAATTTTCTTTGAAAACAAGGAAGGCGAAATCACCACTGGAGGGCTCCATACCCCAACAAATGTGCAGGGGCGGCACTTAGCCTGGACTCAGGAGGCTGCCGGAAGCTCCACGGGTGTCAGCAATAGTGGGCACAGGGTTTAGATTGGATCAAGCAAGTACATTATCGAAAGCAAACTCTAGAGCTTAATGGAGCCCTGTCAAATAAGCAGAAGGAGGCTGATTCAGCACCTTGTGCTGTTATCTGTATGGGAAGTGTAACCTTTATCCAATCCAAGCAGTAGCATTTTGCACCCTTGCTTTGGGCATGTGTAAGATAAGCAAAGTGAAGCCCCGCAGAGAATCAGCCCAGTGGAGCCGCTAGCTGAAAAGTGTGGGAAACTCATGCAGATCTGTGGGAATTGACATCCCAGACTCTACCCAAAGATACCCAGCGAGGTTCTGCAGCATTTCGTAGAGCCTCCGCAGCTACACCACAAGGACACAGTTGGGAGTGGTTATAGTCAGCAACAGTATGGCTTGCAGCTGGGCCTCATAAGAAGCACAGGGGTGCAGGCACCTTCATTTGGTGAAGAGACTGTGAAGAGACCAGTTGCCTTTGCAGTCCTTCCCCTTCCCAGAGTGTAGGAGATCGCTTCAGACTGAACATAAGGAAAAACCTCTTTACAAGTCAAGTGCTGAGGGTCTGGAACAGGCTCCCTCCAGAGGTGGTACAGTCACCCACCCTGATGATCTTCAAAAAGCGTCTTGATGTCCACCTTGCTGGAGTCATCTGACCCCAGCAGTCTTTCCTGCCCAAGTGCAAGGGGGATGGACCCGATGATCTTGTAAGTCCCTTCCAGCCCCTAACATCTATGAATCTGTTCTCAAGCTATCTAGAAGAACAGAGACCCAGTGACACTACACAGTGTTCCCCTAGTGCTACCTGGCGCAATACAGCAAGACAGCTGAGCCTACCGATGGCCATTCCTCAACACCACAATCTGGACCACATGTTTACTTTTTAGGGTCAGAATGAATGAATACTGTATACCAGTATACAAGTAATAGACCATCCCATGCCAATGCTATCTCCTCACTCACCCGGGGATATTTTTCACAGTAGTTTCCCAAAGTCATGATGTATTTCAGCAGATGCCAAAGTGTCAACTAGGTTCCACTATACATAATCCAGCTCCTTTGTTTAAAAAAAAAAAATAACTGCAGCTGCCTTGTTTTGTTCTTCTAATTCAGAGCATTTTTCCTGCAAACCCCCAGAGTCTGTCCCTCCCAGGAAAATATTCACTACTCGGCATCTACACAAGACACTGACTGCGCAGTAGCATCATGTGACGTGATGCTACCGCACAGCATCACCAAAAAGCCATTCGGGGATGCTACTCTGCAGTAATTCCAATTACTACACAGTCATTTAGTACTGGTGTATTCAAGTAGTAAATAACAGCACAGAAACAACTGCGCAGTCAGCATCTCATGTAGATGCGGCCCATGAGACCCAGAGTCATCAAA